CTCAACAACTTGCCTATCTCTAATCTTTCCAGTATTTGGCTGTCGCCATTTTTATTTAACCAATAGTTTTAAATTAAGGAACAAGGTTTGCACAACAAAAGCTGGTAACGGGCAAGTAAGATTTGATTTGTAGGCCCAGACTTTCTGGTACAGAAATTAGCATTACAATACATAGCCTCAGACCACACTTCAATATGCCACACTATTTTTTGCTTAGCTCTGACACTCATCCCAGGACACATATTCCCCAGAACACACACACACACACACACACACACACACACACACACACACACACACCCTGGCTCACACCATAGCAAGATCTCCTATGAGTAGCATGTCTTTATTGCTGAGGGATTTGTCTCAGCAGATAGCAGCAGTCTCCCTGTAAATGGTGACCACCCTGCTGACTGAGCCATGTGAAAACTGGGGCCACTGAGTCTTGTTCTGTCCCCAGACTAAGTGACACTCATCTTAATCCTAAAGAAAGCTGTTTAGAAGAACACATTTTTCACTCGTTTCTAATAACACCAGGTCCTGAGTGTCAGATATGGCTTTCACTGAGAGCGGAGCAAACTCATTGTTCACATAAAGCAATGGTTCTCCATCTTTATAATGCTATGACACTTTAATATAGTTCCTCATATTGTGGGTAACCCTCAACCATAAAATTTTTTCACTGCATTTCATAACTGTAATTTTGCTACAATTATGAATTGTAATGTAAATATCTGATATACAAAATAACTGATTTGTGACCTGGGAGGGAGTCATGACCCACAGGTTGAGAACCACTGTTGAGTCCAGTGATTGGCAGTCTAACCTCTTACAAAGAAACAGATCCAATACTAACCAGGGGCACAGCTACAAATAAATGCAGCCAACATTCTCATTTCTGGGGGAGAAGGATGCACACTAGGAACATTTCTATAATTATTTATTTTACACTTAGTACCTGAATGTTCCAGAGTAGAGGAGAAAAGAAAACATGATTAGCAAAAAAGCTTCAGGGACCAGGGTCCAGAACAGGAAAATTTTCAGGAAATAGGAGATGGCAGGGATAACAACAGAAGAAGCTGGAACCTCAAGACTGAGAAGGAGAAAGATGTTCAAAATTGGGAAGTTCAGCTCCTAAAGCAGAAGCTAGCTGATGGAGAGCAGTTGATAACAAGTACTGATAAGACAAAACTGTCACTATTGTTTACAAAGAAGAAGAAGAAGAAGGAGAAGGAGAAGAGAAGAAGAAGAAGAAGAAGAAGAAGAAGAAGAAGAAGAAGAAGAAGAAGAAGAAGAGATAATCCATGTTCTGAAAATCCCAAGCAAGAGAGTAGATTCAAGGAAAATCTCAAGCAGAAGAGCGAGCTTCTTTGCTGGCTGTACTGTTCACTACCATCTACACTCCCTGTGTCTATTGGACTGACCAAGGACCTTACCAACTAGAACAGAAGCCACCTGCCTACCCCAGTTCCCTACACCATCAATCTAACTTCCTCTGTGTCTCATTCTTTATGAAACAACCTCAGGCTATTATGGGTTAAATAGTTAATTTAAACTATTCTAATTTGCTAATTGGTTCATATGTCACTTATTTGGGGAAATTACACATTAATAGCTACTTCTTGGCTATTTGACAATGACTCAGTCATTTAATACCTCCAGGCTTCCATTTCCTTACCTTAATTAAAATGATGGGGGTGAACGTTATGTCAAAGGGATGGGTGATATTTCAGTTGGGCCTGATAGTGAAAATCCAGGAGGGCTCCCAGAGGCCACTTGTAAGGCAATGTAAGAGAGAAGGGAGTTTGAAGGAAATGAACTTAACAGCAAAACTGCCTGATAGGCTGCAAGCTGAGCGTAATTATTGCTGCATTCTCCAGGGGTAAGGAAGAGCCATGCAAAATATCCCTGAGGGGCTTGGACTTCCTATTATGTTTATTAATCATCTTGATGAAAATGGAGAGTCTGCATTGATTAAATTTACTAATGATCCCAAACTGAGCAGAGGAGTAAATTCCAGAAAGGATGGATTTATAAGGTAAGCACTAATTTAATCAGGTCATCTGCATGAACTAGGTGGCAATGAATGAAATAGGATTTGCAGTAGCAAATAACAATGAGGTGCATGTGAGGCGGGCTGGCTATAAGAGAGCAGATCCAAGTCAGGAAGCTGTTATTTAGGAAATGGTAAGAGAGTGGAAGAGTGGAAAGTGAATAAATAAAAAACAAGTGTAAGAAAAACTTTCGTGTGGGCTCACAGTCTCGCTCACAATCCTTTGGTGGTGAGTGTTAGAGAGTGGAGCGAAAAGAGTGGCAGCCATAGAAGCCACCAGGGAAGAGTCACCTTTACAGGTAAGGAAAGCGATGCCCAGAAAGGTTAGCTGTTAGGTACTAGGTCAGAGTAGTAGAACCCAGACTGGTATGGTATTTCACTCACTCCCCGACATGTGGTGGCAGAGACTATCACCCCCTCCTACAACCTGAGTTTATTCTCCGAATTCTTCTCTAAATTGTATTGTGTTCTCTAACTTGGTTCATTGAACCACAATTCGCTAAAATCCAGAGCCCTGGCTAACATCCAGATCTCCCAATAGTCAACACTGCCTAGAGCTTTGAAACTCAAGCACTCAAAAAACACTGTTAACTTCTTAGCCAAGACTCTGATCTTGGCCACCATCCAAAATGTGTTTAGGTTGCAATGTTGGGACAACAATGAGAAACATCAGTAGTTTCAGACCAATGAGGTTTGTGTACTTGAGAAACAACATAAACCATTTTGTAAAAGGAATCCACAGACTACAAATAAACAAAGCTTCTGGCACACAATTGGACAACAGTAATTATCTGGTTCAAAATTCCTGAGACTGATGAATCTTGTTTCAATCTTGAGGCATGGAGTGAGTTTTATTTGTGCAAATGAAGACTTTTTAAGATAGGTCCTATCTGTACCTGGTCAGGTTCTTTTAGTTGGGTGTCTATCTGGGGAGAAAGGGAGAGAAAGGAAGACTCACCTCAGCAAAATTATGAAGTAGGTGAGTCCGTCCAACTTTCAGTTCCCTACATCCTCCTTTCAGTTCCTCTCCCCAGAAACTCATGGTGCTGCTCTGCCCAAGTCCCCATCCCCCAATATTGTCAGGGCCATGGCATAGCACAAGGTAGTTTGGGTTGGGTATTGAGCAACTGTTCAATTGAGGCAATGTTCTGTAGGAGTTCAGGGCCGCACAATCAGCCTTCTTACAGACCTAGCTCTGTATTCCATCCCTTGGTCCCCTCCACTATTCTTGTCTCCCTGGAAATGTACTTGACAAGCATCAGCTCTGACTCAGACCACACAGGGCACAGGTCAGTGCCCAAGAATTTCCCATGGACCCACACCCTGTAGCCCAAGTGAATGTAGATCATTTTAACATGTGCCTGAAAGAAATTTCTCCTAAAGTATGCTGTCTAAATTGCTCTGGAATATCCCATGGGTTTTCTGAGAGGTGATGTAACCAGCCTTAACCACAAAGTCCTCTATGCCAAAGTAATTTGCTAAGTACCTTTCAACAAGTCGGGTCTTATCACACCATGACAGAGTGCTAAGAGACTGGGCCCTAGGATAAGTTAATCTAGGCTTCACCCCATCCCTGATGCTTACAGAGGTAAGCAAATGACCTAAGCTTTCCAAGTACACATCCTTATCTGGAGAATGAGTTTCTTGATAGACTTAGCTAAGAGAATACATGAAATGCTATTCTGCAAATGTCTACTTGTACCAGTAACTTTCTTTATCCAAGAAATACACCTCGTCATTCATAGTTGCTACACATTCCCTGTTATTTGTCATGTATGGCACTCAGTCAATTTGATTATAAATAACAATAGGTGTAAAACCAACACAGATGCCCAAGAGATGCCTAAATTACTAGACCTATCTACTGTCTGTTAGGCTAAAGATTCAGGGATGGATGCCAGTTTCATGGACGGTAATATTATTCAATTTTAAAATCTTTTTTAAAAGAAACAAATATATAAATTCACACCTGAGTATGGAAACATTACAGTGATGGGGACTAGAGTAGTTCTTTCCAAGGGCTAGAGATGAGGCACAAAAGAGGATGGGTGTGTTTTGAAAGGTCAAAAAGAACAATTATGTGATGGACAGCTTGGCATCTTGACTGAGCTATGACATGAGAGCTAAGCATGCATAAGATCCAAGATACACCAATAATGACACATTAAATCCATAAGCTCCAAGAAGGATGGACAGGTCATCAGAGTCAATTTGTAGTTTTAAAATTATACTGGAGATTTTGCAAGATGTTGCCATTGGGAGAAACTAGGTTAAAGGAAGACTGGATCTCCATTTCTTCTGACAGCTTATGAATCTGCAATTCTCTGAAAGTAAAAAATCGACTCTAAACAATTAGGGGTTGGGGAGATGCCTCAGCAGGTAAGAGTGCTGTATAAGCATAAGGGACTGAGTTCAAGTTCTTCACATGCATGTGAAAACCTGAGAACCTATGAACACAACACTGCTGTGGGCAGAGGCTGGAGGACTTCTGGGGTTTACTAGATATTATCCTAGCTCCAGATTCAACAAGAGATCACATCTTCAAGGAAACGAAGCAGAGAATGGTAGAACAGGATACCCTATTTCTCCCTTTGCCCTCTGTGAGCACACTGAGTACTCATACCTGCACACACACGCACACATATGCATAGTGCCCTCACGCATGCATGCACACAGATACACACAATATGGATAGAACCAAACCCAGAAAATCAAAATAGATAAATAAAAACAAGAATTGGACAAAATAAAATAGACCTAGCAAGGGCTTGTGCTAGGGAGAAAGCAGGACAACTAGGTTCCTAAGACATCTGTGTCTAGTTGCAGACACAGTAGATAAATGGGTGATTAGGCAGAATCAAGATGAAGCCACTTCAAGACTTGAGAGAACATGTGCACATGTCCATGATTAACTGCTGCCACTGCTTTTAAATACACAACAGGGACTCACCCGCGTAGATAGGTTGACTCCACTTGCCCCAACTTCCTGACATTCTGCAAGGTGAGCTCACAGCTGCTCTCACTTGAATGGAATATGTAGAAACATCATCAATTTTTGAGATGAACTTATTGGTGATCAGCTTTTCCATCTAAATGGGAAAAAATAACATTATAATAACGCCTAGACATGTAACTTATATAAAACACCAGCCTGAGAGGTCACATGTGGGTAATGTGGCTCATTATTTAGCAAGTAATCTAAAGTCAATAGAGCATAGTCATGAGTTTATTCTACAGAGTGCCAGTGTGATTTCTTGGCAGTTACCCCGAGGAAGAAAGTGATCTTGTAACTAAAATAAATAAAACGGTCGGCTGAAGGGCTAGGTGATGCAGCGTGGACAAATTAATGTTTCATGTAGAAAAATTGGAGCCAGTTCCAACAGCACACATAATCTGTTCCCTCGCCATTCCACATTGCTAAGTCACAATCCTAAAAAGCACGTATTTTGTACTGCTTCAATGGCCACAGCCTTCATGGACTTTCCTGGTCTAATGCTTGGACTGTCATAGTAGCTCATATCCCTGAGTACACATGGTCCCCAGCCTCACATCCAACTTTCACACTGCTACCAAAATTACCCTTCTATCCTGTAAATACTATACTTCTCTATCACGAAAAATCCTTGGGTGCTGCTCCTTGCCCATGAGTGGGGTTTTGATGTAGATGTTGTTCGGCTTTTAATAGAAACCTCACAGAGCCACTCTGAAATCCCTATGTAAGGTACAGGGTTACAAGTCTAGAGTTCACCTTGTGTTCAGGCCAGCCCAGTCACTACCACTTGGCTGAAGGAAGCATGCCTCACATGCCTCTGGGTTATTTCTTTCCTCACATCCCTACCAGGCACAGTGTGGTTGTGGATTGGTATGAGTCAGGAAGTGCTGATTACCAGTGTCTGATAAGATCAGTGCAGACAGTGAGAGCACAGTTTAGAAACCAGGAGAGCCGTTGGACACTGCTGTGACATCCAAACACATGAATTGTGGAATTGTGCTTGCAGACATATTGGTTTATATTTTCCTATCTTTGGAGATATATATATATATACATATATATATATATACATATATATATATACATATATATATATATATATATATGTATATATATATATATGTATATATATAAAATTTTATTTGATATCTTTTAACTTATTTTATGAAAGTGCTAACTTATGGTAGATTAGAAATTTACAAAAGAAAGCCAGTCCTTCACAGAGGATCTTTCTGACCTCCCCCAGGTTGCTTTTAGCTCCAGGATGTCTAGGCTACAAGGTTATTTTGTTTCCTCTCCCCTCTGCATTATGTTGATCCTTTCTATGATAGGGAGGCTGTGACCTTATTTGCCAGAGTGGGACTTATCTTATGTATTGATTTATTTTTATGTGAACCACCAGCTTGGAAGGACACAGGAAAGTAATATACCCCATGATTTGGCACATAATTTAAAATTAATAGGGTGTAGCATTTGGTTTACTCCAGACTACAAAAAACAAGGCCTTATCTCTCTTTATGTGCTAACCCTAGAAGCCAATTTGTAGATATTGGTTTAATTGTGTTTAGTTTGTCTCTTTTAATTATTTTCAGATGTATTTGTGTGTGTGTGTGTGTGTGTGTGTGTGTGTGTGTGTGTGTGTGTGTGCCACAGCACACATGTGGAGATGGGAGACTAACTTGAGGCAGTCCATCCTCTCCTTCCACCTTGGGGGCTTCAGGAATTGACTCCAGAAAGCATTCTAAACAGCAAGTGTCTTTACCTGCTGAACCATCTCACGGGCTCTTGATTTCTTCTGTTTGTAAGACATGAGGTGGAGTCCTAACCTCAGCTTTGTAACTATGAGGAGTTATTTATCTTTAAGAGTGTGTGTGTGTAGGAGGTGTCTGGCTTAAATTGACAGTAAGATGGTAAATATAATTATTCAACAGTTACTGTGGACAATGTATAAAATAAAATAATAAAACCCCATGGGTATACGATATGTCCTCTGCACTGTTTTCAAATGTGCAGGCCAGAAATGTTAAACAGCTATGCAGTTGTGCAAGCAGACTGTAACACACTTTTCATCTTGCAAGACTGAGAGCTCCATGGCTGGGGGGCATGTGTCCTGTTCTGCATGCATGAGACCCCCTGTTCAGTTCCCCTCACCCAATAATGAAAACCTCACAATCTGTCTGTTTTCATTAGACAATGGTCCCTAATTTCCATTCCCCATTTCCTGGCAGCCACGATGCTATCTTTTGTTTATATGTGTTTTACTACCCTTGGCATCTCATTAAAGGCAGAATCATACCCTTTTCATATAATATTTGTCCTTTGTGCTTTGTTTATTTCACCTTGTTTGCTGTCCTTAGGTTCATTCATATCATAGCATCTATCAGAATTCCTTTCAAAGACTGGATAATGAATATCTCTTCATTTGTGTGTGTAAGAATCTTGCTATGAAGCTAGACTAGCTTCAAATGTATAACATTTCTCCTATCTCAACCTTCCTCTCGGGTGCTGGAATCATCGGTGTGTGCCACCAAGTCTGACTCTGTTAGTGGATAGTGGGGCTGCTTCAGCTCTGGGCTTTGTAAGTGAGTAATGCTGTTGTAATCACGGGGGTCCAGACACCCTTCTGAGACCATGTTTTGAAGTCTTTTTCATGTATACCTAGAAGTAGAATTACAGCCTCCAAGGATAATTCTAACCTTTGGAAAACTTGCCTTCCTCTCTTGCTCAGTAGTTGTATCATTTGTATTTTTAGTAAAGCTCTTAGAAATGAGTTTCATTTTATCCTTTGTATTATTTTGAACACAAAGTATGTTCTTTCAATATAAAAGTAACATACGATTTGATTTATTTCTGTAATAAATACCTGGGGCAGATGTAAGTTAACATTGACTTTGCTGCTACATAAAAACACCCAGAGCAGTCAATACTGAAACTTTTAAATCAGCAGTTCTTAACCTGTGAGTTGTGATCCCTTTGGCAAACCTCTATGCCCCAAAATATTTACATTACAGTTCCTGACAGTAACAATACTACAGTTATGAAAATAAGAGCAAAAGTAATTTATGGTTCAGAGTTATCACAACATGATAAACTATATTAAAGATCACAGCATCAGGACAGTTGAGAACCAATGTTTTAAATATTCCACAAATAATGAATGCCTATCATGGAATACTGGAATGATATGAAGAATTACCTGAGCGCACCCATTTTTTGTGTTGCAAATTTTCAATTCATAATTAAAGCAATGGCCTGGAAAGGCAGAAAGTGGTTTCTCCCATTGTATGTAGAGAGAATTGTTTTTAATTTCCACTGAGACATTCATTGGAGGATTCACTTGATCTAGGTAAGAAGAAGAGAGGTCAGTGGCAAGTCTATACAATCAGTGATCAAGGCTGGTAGCCCAACCCACCATTTCTAAGATATGCTCTTCTCAAGGTTTACCATTAGGTGTAAATCAACCAGTCTCAAAGCCACAAGGAGCAAGTAGCTTCTCATGAAGTTCTTGGTATGGCTGTACCAAATAGACTTACACATCTAAAGAACAGAAACCACTATAATGAAAGTGATTGATAAATTCTTTCCCCCTTCTCAGCTCATTGCAATGTGCACTCAGCATCTCTTAAATTTTCCAAGATAGACTATGCTGATGGGGAGAACATGAACCATGTGCCGACCTCCATTTCCCAGCAGGGGGACAACTCTGAGTAAATCACTTCTCATTTCTGGCTTCAGTGTTTATTTTTTGTTATTGGTGTTTTGTTTTGTTTGGATTGGTTAAGTCAGATACAATAAGAAGCTTCTAAGTAAAAACAACATATTGACCTAAATATGTCTTTACACAGTAAAGCACTAGCACCGGGACCTGAGTTCAGATTCCCAGCACTCAGATGAAAATAGCTGTAATCCCAGAGCTGGTGGTAGCAATTAGGTGTTGCAGGATATTCGTCTGTGAACTCTGTGAACCTCAAGATTGTGTCATTTACTGGAAAAAAAAACCTGTTTCTAGCTGTGGTATAGGTCAGCCTTAGCACACATCTTTAATCCCTCTGGCTAGAATTCAAACATGTCTCTAGTACACATCTTTAATCCCAAACAATAATGGTAAAGTTAGTTCATAGAAGGAAGCACCCATGTTTGAAAGTAATGTCTAATTGTCTGTCAGACAAGGTGACAAATCAGAGAAAGATCTTACAGAATAGTATATGCCAGCCTTTCGTGAGAAGAGAGGAAAAGGAGAGCCCTTTAAGAGAGCAGTGAAGAAAGAGAGGAGAGAAAGGAGAATGCAGCTTTTCTGGGAGAGTTGTAAAGAGACAGGTTGCAGAAAGAGAACAAGCTAGACACAAGGGAAGTCAGAATGAGGCAAAGAATGAGAAGAAGCCAGAAGATAAGAATGTATTGCTAGAGTTACTTTAAGGATAAGCAGAGCAATTTAGGAGAGGCTAAAAAAAGAAGCCAGATTGAGGCTTCGAGAGGAGGTTTAACCAAAACAGCTGAGTTGACCAGCCAGCTCAGAAAAACTTGGAAGGTTAAACTTATTCAATAGTAAGTCTCAGAGGGTGAAAATAGTCTAGGCCTAGATTAGATTCTATGGAGGATAGAAGCTTCTAGGACTAAGACTAGGTAAGCAGACTGAAGCAGTAAGTCTTAGAGATGAGAATAACTTTAGGAGCATAAAAGTTACTTTAACAGTTGGGTAGTAGAGATAAGTGGATACTAGGACCTCACTAGCTAGCCATCCAGTCTAGCCCAAATGTCAAGTTCCAGATCCATTGAAAATTTCTGCTCCTCACAAAATAAAGTGGAAAAGCAATAGAAGAGGATAACCTGATGTTAATCCTAGGCTTCTGAATAAACAAGCACACCTGCACCAGTATGTATATACTACACATATACATATGAGAGAGGAAGAAAGGGCTGGGGAAGGGAAGAGGAAGATGGAGGGGAGGGGGGAGGGGGGGAGAGGGGAGAAGGGAGGGGGGGGGGGAGGGGGGGGAAGGCCGAGGAG